CAAGCAGATTATATGGTGGCAAGGCAGTATCCAATGGTATTATCCACAACCACATGATGCCCATGCATTACTCACAAAATCAAGGAGGAGTTGTTCAAACTTTGATTCTGTTGTGCGTCAATGTCATTATTCATACCAACCCTATCCTCAAAGTAGATCATATGGTGGCAACACAGTATTCATTGGCAGAGGAGTGTCCTTAAGCCATGGGTGGCCAATGAAATACTGTCAGCCTAATGAATACTACCTGGTCTTTTGTAGCCACTAAAAGATCATTCTGCTTGGAGATTAACCAATCTGGGGGGTCCACTGTTCATTGTGCTTGTCAAAACGAGCAAGGAAAATTTCCCCGGTACAATGAACCTGTAAATACTATAATATACTCATTACAGTGTCTGTCTTTTATGTCATGACTAGTGGGGGATTACAAATGTAGCTCTTCATTGAGCTAAAACTGGGTTGAGATCACTTCCTTCTTTTTCCTTTTTTTGCCACATGAAAAAAAAAGCACGTAGCTTCACAAACCTTCAAGTGTTCTTGTAAGTTCAGCCATACATGCACTTTAGTTTATGACTGCCATTAACTTGGAATCAAAGCTCTTATGGCCTACCATAATCTCCAAATGTGCAGGCAGTCAGAAAATCGTGACTGACCTTTTTGCAAAGTACTTGGAAGAAATCCAGCTGGATGTGTGACTTACTGGCAAGGCCAAAAAGTCACACAAATCCAACTTTGGTTATTTGTATATACGTGTACGTACCCTCGCTTACTAAAGCTGTCTATTATTGGAAAGGGGCCAGCGAGTTGTCTCGGCACGTGCGCAGTTAGCCTGATTAAATCACTTTTGCCGGCCGCCCAACATCCAGCCGGCCCCCCTATGGGGAGGGGCCAGTAAAGCCGTGGACGGCAGAGTTTGCATTATACAGACTAGTGCGCAGTATACACGTAGGATTTCACTTCCAAGAAGAGGATGCAATTGCAAGAAATTGCTCTGCAAGGAAAAGCAATGCATAAAAAGCCAGATTTCCATCCTGATTTATATGTGTGTACACGTGCCACATGGGTTTCCACTGATTTTCAAAGTGCACACGCCACATGTCCACTGTGGGGAACCTGTGGAAATCATTGGAAACGGACCAAATTTTGTGTCCTATGGTGGAAATTTGCGTGCATGTGGTGTGGAAATTTGCGTGCATGCATGGAAACTCCAGATGTGTGCCTTTTTCATGCAGTAAAAGTTGACAAAAAGTCTATTTTGGAACTAGGAGGGAGCTAGAATATGCTTCCAAGCAAATGTCTGCTTTTACAGTTGAGTGACAAATTTTCGGAAGTTCTGTTATAGTGTTGACGCATATTTCAAAGTCAAATCTTAATTTTATCAAAGACTTGTGAAGAGTCACATGGTTCTCCCCCAAAAGAAACACCCCTATGCTGAAAGACAATCACAGTGTATACGTGCCGTGGGTTGGGCTAAATAACAGCATTGGGTGTCCAAATGATACCAGGTAATCACTGCATAAGGGGTACTCTCCAAGCAGAGGTTTGGGTTTTGGGGGTATTTTTAGCGTGTTTTTAGGCTTTTTTATCGGGGTTTCTCTTTTGCACTGAATTTGTTTGGTGGAAAAAAAAATTCAGTGCAAAAGAGAAACCCCGATAAAAAAGCCTAAAAACACGCTAAAAATACCCCCAAAACCCAAACCTCTGCTTGGAGAGTACATAAGGGGTCCCCTAACAGCCTACAGAGAACTATGATGGATTTTGGTGATGGAATCCATTACCAAGAAGAATGGACTTGGACATTTCAGACTTCTGGGAACTTCTGAAGTATTTTCTGAGGGTTTTCAGGGTTGTAAATGCACTAACTAAATTAGCAACTGTGGAGGGCATTATGATGTCATCTGGACTGGGACAGGAAACGTACAAACTTCTCAGTAACTGTAAGCCACCCAAAATACTATAAGTACTCCAATACCCAGGAGTAATCATGCAAAATTCTCCACCCACATATTAATGCATTACAGTAAATGCAGACATATCTCTAAATAATGTTAGATACGAGTATCATTTGACCATCTGAAGATTATGGTTTCTGTATGGTTTCCCTGGATAGCAATCCCTACCAGCATGACAACAGCTTTAAAGTTTAAACTCCCCGATAACATGACAGTCCCGATAACCTTCATGCAGAGGTGTGGTTTGCTCGTTAATTAGAAACAACTGTTTCCTTTCCTGTAGTGGGGAATATAACAGTCATGGTTCTCTTCAGTGTATTTCTATGTAATTAGGCATGTGGTCTGCCGTTATGTCCGTGTTGATGCACGTTTCCTTTTTTCAATGTAGAAGTTTTCATATTTCAGTAAATGCATATTTCAGAAACACCCCTATTTTCATAATCCTGTGGAATCGGCCATTTGTTGTGTGGTAGGTGCTATGAGCAGATATTATGTGTTTTTTGTGAATTTGTTTGCTAGTAGATCTGTTGGGAATGGGATTATGACTTACAGTTTGCACCTACTACGATACCTTATCAAAGAAATAATAATTATGTAGTAAGTAAAAGATATTGTTATGAAAGATGACTTTGTTCATCTGTTTAGATTGTCCTGTTGTTGATCTTATACATGATAATACATCCTGTGTTTACACAAACTCAGCCCAGGGATTTATAATCCCCACCCCAGCAACCTTTGGGGTGGGCGGCCGCCACAAGTGTTCCAGGGCTAGCTAGCCTCCACCAGTAAATTGGTCAAGGGAGTCAGGCTGCGGGAAGGTAGTTTCCTCTAGTCCAACTATATTATGTGGCCAAACTCCCCTGGCAAATATTCTCCTACATAGAGCCAGTGTAGTTAGTCTGGTAGAGACTAGGATTTAGCCATTGTCACGATACCAGCTAACACTGTTTACATACACTATACATAAAATTATATATGTTCCCAATCTGCAAAATATGAAACTTCATGGAGAATTGTCACCTATGGACACTTGGTGCCTATTACTATATTACTTATTTTAGCACCGCCATTACAACAGCAGTTCAAACTTTCTTTGATTCAACCTGAGCAATGTTAGTAACTGAGGGGTGTATGTGATAAAATTTCCTCGGGGGCATCTTGGCCCTGGTCCCGTGGAGCTACACGGTCACTGTACACGTATGTAGACCCTGGCTACAGTCTCGCATCCCCCTCCACACCTCCTATACATGTATGTGTTGTCTGCATTTGAAATAAATAAAATGTATGTGTAATCTGACTATAGTAAAGTTTGCTGCAAAACGTTACGACTGCTGAACCAAATTGCTGTCTGAATATGCTAACTATGTTGTTATCCTTGCTCTATCTCTATTATTTTGCCAGACATTGCATCTAAATGCTAGGTTTCACTTGGTTCAGGTGTATGCTGCCTGTCTCACTTTTGTCCCTTGGTGACTTGAGTGTGTTATGGTATACATACCAAGCCTTTGTGTTTTCTCTATTTACAGCACTGGGAAAAGGACTTGTACAATTGTGTTTTCATATCCTCTCATTCCAGCAAGGTTGATACATATCTCTGCTTGGCCGAGTGCCGCCAAACTTGGCAGGAGAACAATGGTTAAGTCTGCCTGCCTGATTAAATCACTTTACGGTTTCCTGACTCAGACCATTCCACCCGCAGAAGTTGCAACAATGTTATATTGATACCTGTCAAAATGATTTCCGACTTAGACCCGGTTTACACAGGGCAAAATAAATGTGTCGGACGCGCGTGCCAAATCGCCTACGACACTTTCCCGCTTACATACAGGGACTGCGACTCCCGCTTCGCAACGCAGCTGTGGCGGTCTGCGTTGCGTTGCGTCGCGTCACATGTGGTGAACCCTGACCTGCCGCGACCTTTTCTAACATCTTCATCTAGGTTACCCCCAGACACCTGCAAGGGGTGCCGTTAAGGGGGGGGGAGAGGAGGTCAAGGCTAAGGCGGGCAGGCTCAACATTGGGAGCCATAACTACCGGGCCAGATAAGGAGTTCCACTGTGGGATGGTACGGGAAAAAAAGAAAATCTGTAGGTGTCGGTGTGTGAAGCGCTGTTATTGTTTTTCATGCGACAAATGATGATTTTCTTCCTCTCTCGCGCGTATTTGCAGTGCCGGGCATGGCGCAGAAGACGGCATGGGCGCCGTAGGGATTGGAACTATGATATAATCCAATGGGCAGCTTTCCTTGGAGCCTCCTTCTTTCTGAATGTTTTCATTTTACTGAAAATTCTGTCACAGTTGTATATAAATTATAAGTTATGATTATTAAGTTATAAATTTTATATGAAAAGAAGAAGAAGAACTGGCTTATGTTCAGCATACACCAAAAGCGGGATACTATAAATAAATACCACGGCTAGGTAACAAAGTAAATATTCAAATTATACAAACATTAGAGGCAACCCAGGCAAGGACAAAACTGAGACTGGAATGGGTGAAAATTTATAATAATTTATATAGGAAAAATTCATCATAATTTATACAGAAAAAATATGGACCAACGGGTGGGTGGGGGTCTCTACAGGCACCTACAACCACTGCACATATTTTACCACCCTATAAACATACTCAACGACTCTAGATGTACAAAAGAAAGTAAAGTTATACAAGTAAAAACACCTACAAATTGTAAATCATGTTACTGTGTTCGTCAGAACTTCGTAGATGCCCCCCCCCCACACACACACACATACACTGTACAACGCTAACACCATTTCTGGCGACATATTTCTACTGTCAATCGGATTATCCCTTTGGTTATGACTTCCTCTAGATACCGCGATGTTTTAAAGAACGACACCCGTGGGGTACCGTACGTAACACGCTAAAAATCCGGCATAAGCTCGCAGAGAAAGCATTTTTCCCAAGTGTTCACTTCCTCCTTATCCACGAGTCGACCTGAGATTGAGTCGTGACCGAGTCGTCCACACAACTAATCCATCAAAATCATACACGATTCACACATTGGTATGGAAATGAATAACTCACCCGTGTTTTCTCTGTTTGAACGGAGTCATATCTTCGGTTTTTCGCTGTTTTCTTTCCTTCCTGTTCAGTGGTTACTCTGGCTCCGACTTCTGAGAAATGATCCAGTCCCTGCTGCCAGGTAGATTACAATTTCTTTCTTCATAGGGGTGTTTGGTATGAGAATGAAAACTTGTTTACGGTTTTGTAGCATTTGAATCGCATTTCATTATATCTTTAAAATTAAAAATCTGTTGTTTACTCGTTTAAAGTTACGTAAATCTTTCTTAGTTGTTCTTGTGTGTATTTGAAGCTTTACAACTACTTCGCTTTCCCTAGTTTGTTAAAATGGACGACTCCATAACGGAGTTAGGCGGAGCTACCCATATATGGTCACGGTGTCATTGACGTCATTCCGCGGTGTGTTTACAGTATTCAATGGCCTGTTTTTCTGGTCCAAGCAGAGGTTTGGTAGCCTAGTGTCCAGCCTTGTTTGATAGCTTTAGTCCGCTCCCCACGGATCAAATCCACTCCCCGCCAACATTACATTGTTGGATCTTGGGGAGCGGACTAAAGCTAACAAGGCTGGGCACCAGACTAGAGGTTTGAGTTATGGCTTCAACCCTTGTAGGCTTTTTTTAGGCTTTGTAATGGACTTTCTTTTTTGCGCTTGTATCTTTCTTTATAGATACCACCGCAAAAAGGAAAGCCTGGTAAAAAAAAGCCTAAAAACGCCAAAAATAAGCCAAAAGGCAAAACCCAAACCTCTGCCTGGAGAGTATGTTTTGTTTACAACAACGTTTTTCAGTATCAAGGATCGTGCTTTTCTTTCGCGTCTATTTTCTGCGTTTTGGATGTCTAACTATCTAACAAAACGCCACAAACAAGAAAACATAAGCCCACAATGATAACTTGCACACCTGCTTTCAACCAGTGTTACTTTGGAACTTGACCACGGGTCTGACCACGGGTTCATAAAGGAGGGTCTGCATGGGGGTACTGGCAACGGTTAACGGTAAATTCAGGACGGTCGGTAACGCTTACACACACCAAGGAGCTTTCATCGATGAAAGCTCCTTGCACATCACATACACACACCATTTGAACAAGTTCATAGCCACCCTACCTTGCACTAGGAATATCAATAACGTTCGCCCTTGCATTTTTACCAAGGGGGCTATCTGACACGAAGCCTTCGCATTCCGGGTTTAGCCTATATAATAGGCGTAAACGAAGAGTTATTCATTAACGCTTAACGCTGAATTTAGGATGACAAATAACGTTCTACGTAGAATTTGTAGGACTACCAAGAATTAAAACGATCAATAACGCTTATGATGAATATACTGATAACGCTTAACGCAGGCCGGCAACGGTTAACGGTGAATCAAAATCGTTGAAAAAGGTCATGCAGGCAATTGTACAGTAATGAGTAGATTTATAACATTACATATATTTCATTATTACTTTTATAGTTTTATAGTTATATGGTTTATATAGTTATGTACTTATAGATAAATAAATAAATAACGCAAGGAACCTCTTAAATGTAAAATCTCCAAGCAGAAGTAACGTCTGATCTCGACTTGTTTCAAACGTATTTTTGTTGTATTTTTTCCATTGTTTATAAACACGCATATGCAAATAAAAATTATCTTCTCCCTCTAAAACTAGCCTCCTTCGCAGTCTTGTTAGGCGTCGGCGTTATTTTTTCTCTGAGCGACGCGAGTAATATGCGGCCGCGAGGGACGATTTGCTGCCGAGGGAGTTGTTGCCACGGAGAGAAGGTTTCTTGCGAAAAAATAACGCCGACTCCCAACAAGACTGCGAAGGAGGCTACTCTAAAACCGTGAAGAGGGCAAAGCGGTGATAGAGGTGATAGTTGCAGCAAAATAGTACTAGTTTGTTTAAAAAATGAGGATCTGTCTCCATAGCGTTAAGAATTTTTCATATATATGTAGTGCTTTCTCAAGTTCCTGGTGTTCTCGATCGAAGAAGCCTGCGCCGGTCAGGAAACGTTACGATACTAGTATTCCATCCCAACATCTGCTTGGAGATCACACTCCAGTATACGTCATGCTCTGGTCATGCGCAATAGGCCACTAACTTTCGCGGGCTTTTTTGTTGACAGCTCGGGAGTCGTCTGCAGCCTGAGGGAAGACGAAGTTCTCGTGATTCGAGGTGATTTTATCTACCATTTTCCTTCAATTTTGAGAATTCATGCCTCTTTCCGGACGTACAATGATGTTGGGAAAGTCTATCTTGGTCAGAAAGTCAGACAAATTTTTGGAGTAATTGTTAAATTTCAATTTTTTTGTGTGAATGGAAGCCGTTGGCACATGTGGGCCGGCTAGCGTCTGTGGCTCTCATGAATTTATAAGGATGTGCAAAGTTCTCTTTAACTTTACAGAATGAAACATGTGAGAGAGTTGATAAAAGTAGATAATTGGTAAAAATATCCCCGTTTCTTGACCGTTGTGTGAACCATTTTTTGCGGGAACCTTGTTTTTTTCCCTGAGTAAGACTGAAAACATCTGTGCACACAAAATTTATGTATCTCATCTCAGGGTGGTGGCCCTAATTTTCAAGCAGATGTTGGGGGAGGGTAGCCTGGGTGACATCCTTAGCCTGGTTACCAGACCTATTTTAGCTCCTGAGTCTATATCCTCTCCGCAAATGTGGAAATACTGGAGCTAAAATAGGTCTGGTAACGTAACTAGGCTATGACATCCTCCATAGAAACAAAGGAGGATGGCACCCAGGCTTTGGGTGGGCATTCCGACATCTGATTGGGCACCAAGAGTCCATGTCTAGCAGGAAAAGAGATGTTGAATAGAGACAACAACAACAACACCTGATTTCAAGATAAATATACTGTCAGAACTTTTCAGTACAGCCATGTCTGTCATAATCATCCCTCTTCCATGTCTGATTTCAAATTCTGAGATCAGCGATACATTTCGTCAGGGAGGGATAATTTGTTGTAACGTTTTGTGGTTTATACTTGGTATGTGTTTATGTATACTGTTCTGGTCTCTTTACACCTTGTACCTACAGTGACCAAATGCCTGTCTGCTAGTACGGATATGCAATACAAAGGCCTGGCTAGGCGACTTCAGTTTGCACCTTCCTGTTAGGTGCCACATGGTCTGGCAATCAAGATCAAAGAACCAAACACAAATACTAGTAATTAGCTTATAATATAAAGACAGGGGCAAAGTAAAGAGTTGAGTTGGAAGTGATTTCAGTCCTATGAGAAGTGTGTTGAGTAACACCAGAGTTCACTTCAATTTGTACTATTGGAGAGTCTACATTAACTGCTGAACAAGTCTGTAACCCTAAAAGTACACAATGCAGATTGACAACATAATACTGCGTCTGTTGCTACTACTAGACTCAACCAAAGTTATTTGAAATTACTATTACTAACTTGATTCTTAGCACAAGTGTTAAGAAACCACAAGACTGAAACATTGATTGTGGAATGTTATACAGGCATTAAAGAGATTCATATCATCACGAAAATTGTGAAGTTTGACAAAAGTTTCTTCTTTCTAGATGGCTGCAGCAAACTTGTTAGAGGAGTTTGACAATAAGCTCCTTACTTGCTCCATCTGCAAGGGAGTCTATGACAACCCTCGTACCCTGCCCTGTCATCACACCTTCTGTGCCAACTGTCTGGAGCTGTGGAGGAAGGGACAGAGACGGTTCACTTGCCCTACCTGTCGTCAGCAGGTGAAGCTACGGGGACCTGATGTCAGCAGTTTTCCCTCCAGTTTCTACATCAACAACTTGCTGGACTTCAGGGCCGTACATAACTCCAGTATTAAGAGACCCCGTGCCTCCTGTGGAATGTGCGAGTCGTATGCCAGTATAGAGGGGACATGTGGGGACTGCAAACTTCTCTTATGTGGAAACTGTCTTACCGGACATGGAAACTGTCCAGCCCTGAAGGACCATTACATTATTGCTTGGAATGAGCTGAATGACCCCAGCAGCATGTTAAGGGTCAACCAGACCCAGTACTGCCCTCAACACACAGACCAACGCAGGACCTTTTACTGCCAACCCTGCGCCAAACTGATGTGCCAAGACTGCGTCACTGCTGACCACCAGCCAGGACCGAACCACGATCCACAGGAGGTTGGTTTGGTGGCACAGAAGTACGTTGATGAACTACAGACCTTAGTTGGGAAGAGCCAGGATTCAGCTGATGCATTGAAGAAGACTAAAGCAGTTGTTGGCAACGAGCTCACAATCATCTCGACAAACTGTCAAATCGTAAAAAAAGAAATCCAGGAACATTTTTCAGAGCTCAGAGCCAAGCTAGATAAGGAAGAGCAGGAAGTTACAGAGAAACTTGTCAAGATGGAAGAGACACAGAAGGAGCCTCTCGTGAAGGAAGAGAAAGAGTTGGAAGAGAGGTTACAATCAACTGAAGAAGACCGTAAATTCTGTACAGATTTTCTCTCTAGAGGTAACGATGTAGAAATCATCACACTCCGGAAGCAGCTAGGAGACAGGCTAGATGCTCTTTCTTCAAGTCAGATTCAGCATCAAAGTCTGAAAAATCACATATCATTTCTTCCTACAGTCAATATTAACTGTGAGCTGTCCCTGACTTGCAAGCCCCTAGTTATCACTGATCCCCCAGTAGCAAGTCTCCCAACTACAATCATCTTTATACCCAATGAAGGTCAAGCTTTGGAAACCAACCCACTTATCACTGTCACCTCCCCTCAGGGGCAGCATGCTCAGTTGGATGCCTCTAGAACGAATGAGGGGGCTTTTCAAGCAGTCTGGAGGCCGAAAACAGTGGGGAAGCATGAGGTGGGGGTGACAATGGGAGGAGGGGGGAGACTGTGTCCCACTCTGAGTGTACATGTGGGTAGTAATGACCCTGTACTGAACTTTGGACAGGAACGGTTTTATATGCCATTAGATATAGCTGTCAGTGGGAACAGGCTCTATGTGGCTGATGAGTTAGTCAGAAATATTCAGGTGTTTGATCTGAGTGGTAACTTCTGTCACTCTTTTGGGACGCCATCAGCGCCTTGGTCACTTTCAGTTCATACTGACGGCACCATAGTAGTGAACACCGTAACAGATGTTGTGAAATATTCCCAATCAGGGGAAGAGCTGCACAAATTTTCCACAAGGGAATACTGCACACATCCCGGAGGCCTGGCAGTACTGAAGGATGGGAGGATTGTTGTAACAGATAGTGGCAAACATTGTATTTTCCTATTTGAAGCCAATGGAACCCTGGTAAAACAGTTAGGAGGGAAGGGGAGTGCAGAGGGGGAGTTTGATACGCCAGCCTCTGTCTGTGTTGACAGAAATGACAACATCATTGTGTCAGATATGAAAAACTTTCGGGTTCAGGTGTTTGACAAGGATCTAAACTTCCAATACCAATTTGGTCAGGAGGGTCAGGAACCTCAGGACATGTGTAGACCTATGAGGGTTTCAGCTGACAGCAAAGGAAACATAGTTCTGGTAAACTTTAATCATTGTGATAGACAGGGGATTCAAGTGTACCGCTCAGATGGCACCTGGGTGGCTACCTTCAGTAGTGATATTACATATCACATACGTCGAGAATCTTGTGGGGTGGCTGTGACAGAGGACGGACATGTCTTTGTAGCCAATTCTCAGCCCCTTTGTATCAAGAAGTACAGATACTTGTGATCGGAACTGCATCCATTCAATTGTGCACACCTAGAAGCTTGCATGTTGCTTCCTCTAACATTTTTGGAATTTTTTAGAAGTTTAGATTGATAGCCCTACCTTTATACATGTACCTTGGTTTATCATACATACCATTTGTGTAGGGAATATTAACTTGCTCACTGTTGACATCCCTATGTAGTACATAAGAAACTTTTGTGACTTATGTTAATTTTCTTTATGTATTATAGGCATATTTATTAGTATTTTTTACCCACTTACTAACTTCCTTGCAATGTGCTAGCCTTTTTACTACTTATTACTTAGGGTCTGCTCTTCAAGCTGAAGTACAGTGTAGAATATCAGTTATTCTTAGGAAGAGACTACAGTATACACTTATTTTATTTCTATTAAAACCTCACCATTGCAGATAAAGTGTGTCCCAATGTGTTAGCCCAGCACAGGTTTTACAACAGGCATACGTGCATTTTTTTTCTGTGCTGAAATGTTGGACCAAACTACATTTGTTCATGTTTACCTTTTTTACTACATACCTGTATTATGTATGCATAATGAGTGAGATTTGGGAAGTCAGATTTTGAAAGTAAGGTTTGGTGTGCGGAAAGCACTCAGTTTTGAGACTGGGGAACTTGCCTGCACAAAACTGAATCTCGTAAGCTTTCATGTCTTTTTTTAGTCCAGGATGTAGCAGTTGGAACTGCAAATCAATGCATTTGGTGGAAACAGTCTCTTGTTTCACAATACATTATACAGCATACCAGGTAGATCTTCTCAGGAATTAATTATATATAATTTACAATCCGTTTACTTGTGTGTTATGTGTGTATTTTTGTTGTATTTAAGTCCAACAACACAAGCTAACCCGGGTGTGTACTGAAATGCCCCCTAGAGACAAGGGAAGGTACCACAGCCTGTGGCTGCAAGGGTATGAATTTAGAAAGCAACTGACAAACGTGATTGAGGAAGGATTTTGTTTGCTGACAGCTAAGCCATACTTGATGACACGACAATTTCATTTGAAACTGCATAGTTAGATGTTCAGAAAGACGGTTCAGTCAAAAAACCATCCCAGCATCTGCTTGGAAATCGATCATGAAACAAGTGCTTTTGAAAAAAAATTGAACTTTTTTTTTGGCAAAATTGTGCTCATTTTTCCAAGGTTTGAATGCTTTGTTCAAAGCCTGGAAAAAATGGGTTAACCTCCAGACAGATGTCGGGATGCTGTTTATGACAGAAATGGGAAGCTAGGAAACGTAACGAATTTGCCCCTAACATCTGCTTAGCACTTGCAGATTACTATTGTTAACGTTACAGAACAAAGTTCTAGTTACGGTAATAGCAGCTTCTTTTTGTTTTCTTTTTATTACAACTGCCATGCAGTAGATTACAGGGCTGTCTGAAAACCGAGGCCAACGTTTAGCAGAACATGGCCGGTAAACACCCTCAGCCGGGCCCGTTAGTACGTGGGATGGTTATCAGGCAAGCCTAACGGTAAGACGGCCTCATTTAGAGCAATTGGAGCCGCATAAAGGCGAGACAGTCGTCCCAGAGGGAGCGACGTCGTTACGTCATGACGTCATTACGGCGTTATCTATGTCAGTTGCCTGAGAGGAGAGATTGCAGATTGTGTGGGGGTGGTTCGTGGGGGTGAATGGTGGTAACAGCACATTGTAGGGCCGTGCATTGATGTTGCAGAGGGTGGATAACATTAAAACAATAGGAGTGAAGATGACGAATTTGATTACTTTTTCCTTCCATCACATTTTCATTTGGTTTGGAACACGATATTTACTCAAGATACAAATGATTTTTCTTTTCGTTTTTGTCAGTTACTTATTATATCCTTGATAGTTTCACGACTAAAATGAAATATATACTCGAATACTTGTATAATAATTTCGCGCCCAATGGTAGACGGTTCTTCATGTGAGCAACAATGTGTTATTCAATAAGAAGTGAAAAGGTAGAAGGATAATTGGTTCAAAATATAAGAAATGGGTTGTGGCGTTATTGATGATAATGGACATGTTGGAAAATAAATCATGTAAAATATAATAATACTGAGTATTCACGCTCCTTCAGCTTTGGTCCGTCTCCTCCCCCTGTAGGCTGGAATATCAGGCACTGGGAAGCTGCCGAACAAGTCCGGTTACGAGGCTACATTCATTGAAATTCCCCAAATGTACAGTAAGGAGCACACAGACCCTTTCATATAACATTGACGTGTACTCTCCTCTTTATTGGTCCATTTTCGCACAGTAATATGCCTCCAGCGCACGTAGTGCTAAGCCATTATGTTTGTAATAAAACGCAGTTTCCATACATCACAGAGTGCCTCACAGCCTGGGCTGTCAGCCGACATCGCAGCTGATAGATCAGGGTCTATACAGGGCTGCACTGATGACCCTTTGGAAATGCTATGTCATAAATACAAGGGTGAAATATACACAGGCCATACAGATAATTTTTTTATTACAGGCTTCTCAACCTCGAGATGCTGACTCCAAGGAAATTGATCTGACATGTCTGAGGGTAAAATTCTGGGTTATCTGGTGAATGAGGCGCATATGTCTAGCTCAATGCCTGTACAAGCGCTTCACTGATCTGTCTTTGGAACTGTGAAAAGTCAAATATTGCAATAAATACTGAAAAAAAGTGAATTACGCATATCTACAGAGTCTGCTTCGTGTACAGTCTGCGTAACATGTAGAAAGACAACACGCGTTCAGGTCAATACAAATCTGAGGTAAGAGAAAGAGGTTACATATGCTATTCTGAAGTACAGACAAACGCTACAATCAGAGGTTAAAAGTTAGAGTCAGATATATCTGCAATGTATTTTGTTTGTGTTTACATGTAACATCTTTAAAATACTTTTGGATAGGATAGTCCAGGACTTAATCAACAGGTTTTCTTACTTCTGACATAACATGGCTTAACAAATACTAGTAGAACAAACAGGCAACATATTCTACCCCTAGCAGCCTCCTTTCGTACTGCATCTTCCCACTGCAGTTACAAGCATATACATTTTGCGCAAAAAAACAACAACAACACATTGGGTCTAAAGTATTCCGCTTTCCAGAGTTTTCGTAGTTACTGTGTGATTTAAAGGTAGACTCACTCTCCCACAGTTAGGCTATGTAATATCAAGAAGTATATATAGAAGAATGTCTTCTAAATATACGTAGAAGAAAGGAGTCATTATTATTAGAATTGTTAGGTTATTCTATATTGAGAAACAGCTGACATGAGTCCATATAGCAGCAGCAGCAGACAGACACGTACACTGGCAGCTGAACCTACACAGCCAATATCTCACCCTCCCACAGTCCAGTCAATAGTATAGATCTCTTTTATCTGTAAGTACTGTTGCCCCTGTTTGGTTAGTTGATGTTCGCTTGTGGAACGTCCAGCTGCAGTGAGGCAGCTTCAATGTGAGTGATTGTTTCTTGGAAAGATCCTCCCGTATGCCAAGCAGGACTCTCGCATCATGCAAGCAATGGTCCTGTGCACCGCGTTAACTGACAGGCAGGCCTTATCACGTTCGTAAACATACGTTCGTGGGTAAAAACTGCTTGTAGATGAAGTATCAGTACCTTTTGAATCATTTTTAAGTCATTTTAGTTTTCGCGAGACAATAACTTCTAACACTGACGTCACAAACGGCACAATATGTGCATCTTACAACCGCATTTTGCACTTTTTCGTGGAATAGAATATATAATATATATATAACGTTATATATCTACATTTACTTCAGTCGTAACTACAAAATCAAAACTGTTTTCACCACAGGGAAGTTGCTTCCTGTCTGAGACCTATTCGTAACCTGTGAGTGACCTTTTTTAACTGTGGTCTTCAAAACACCTGATCCAACGGGGGCCAAAGATTCCTGGATGCTCCTCCAACCCTCTCATGTAGAGATTCTATCTTTTCAATATTGATGTGCATTTTCTTGAGTTGAAATACTGTCCCTTTGCTAACAATACTTTTTGTACAACCACAGATGAACGTAACAGAGAGTACATGAATATTATTGTACATTTACACCTTTACAACATGAAAAACCTGAAGTTTATTTTTCCTACATCTCGCTCTTTGTGTTGGTATTTCAAGTCGTTAGCATTTTTTTACTTTGAACAGAAGCTCAAGCCAAACATCTGCTTGGATATTAAATGTTAGCCCACAGGGGCGTTTCATTGAATCTACTAAAAGCCTCATTTGAATGTGGATGCCAGTAGGGCTCTTTTCATTGGTCAACCAGACACGGCCTATTCCCCTCCATTTTGACCGATTACCGTTTTCCAGCAACCTAAGTAAGTCTAGTGAAGACTTGCCTTTATAACCACTTATTATAAGTGGAAGACTTAAAGTTTAACGGTTACATCTAAATGCATGAGTACATCTAGCTCATGACCGTCTTCCATGTCCTCCACTACCTGTGTTTACTGAAAGAAAGAAGAAAGTCATTCATGTGCTTGGAGATTATTCTTGCCACTCGATCAGAAGCGGAAGACTTTGACCCGACTGTTGTTGTACTCTGACACCACGAGTTTCCAGTCGCTGATGAGGGCCACGGCGCACGGACGGCGCAGTCTGTCTGTGGAGGCCACTATGTACCGCTGGAACTGGCCGTCTGAGCTGAACAACGCGACCCGGTTGTTCAGCCAATCAGCGACCAGGATGTTGCCGTGACTGTCCGCGCAGACTCCCTTGGGGTGGTCGAACTGGCCCTCCTCCTCGCCCTGCGTGCCGAACCGCCGCAGAAACTTCCCGCTCGAGTCGAACACCTTGATGCAGTGGTTGCCTTCGTCAGAGACGATGATGTCGTTCCGGTGATTGACGGCTACGTAGGACGGGTCGTCGAACTGCGTGTCGTCGTCGCCGTAGCCGCCGAAGGCGAAGGCGGGAGTCCCGTTTGGGTTGAGGACCTTCACTTGGTGGCCGTCGGCGTCGGAGATGACGAAACGACCGTTCGAATCCACGGCTAGTCCTACAGGGTCAACGACCCCAGAACTGTCATTGTGCCGGAAGAGTCGTCCTTGAGGAGTGCAAAGCTTGATAGACCCGTCGCATCCTAAGATGGCGATGTTTCCTTCAGGTGTGATCGCCACGTCCTTGGGGTATATGTCCACGTTGAAGGTGTGTCTGAGGTTGCCTGTGAGACTACTGAACACCTGCACGACCATGCTGTCGGAGTCAGCGACCACTATGTCCATCTCCCCTCGGACGGCCACGCCGCAAGGCCGGAGGCCCGCGCTGGGCGCCTCGGTCTGTAAGAGCAACGTCGCTCCGGCAAACGGGGCGTTGGATTTTGCCCAGAGCGGTTCGTCCTCGAGCTCTGGCACGCCGTTTGGTATCAAACTAGTCGGTCGCCGTTCGCTTGGCTTTACCTTCTTAGGGCTGGCCGGGTTTTCGGGATCTCTGGCTAAATCCATGCCAGAAGAGGGTTTGGAGAACTTTTCGATGGTCTTTTCGATCTCCTCCACCAGTTGGGAGTGGCGGTCGACTCTCATGTGACACTCCACGTGACCCATCTTCTCCGCAACCCACGACATGTCGTCATCGCGCATGACGTAACGGATCTCGCGAGACAGCGAGTCGATCTTCAGGTCTTCTCCTGTGGAGGAAAATAGACATGACGATTAGACAGTTTCCAACGTACGATCCATTGCTCAGTTACTTGCCTTTAATATCTACATGATATCATGATGTGACACACAGAAGCATGTGGGCAGAACTTACTGCGCCTGTGCGAAACCTGTAATGTACTACTAGGCTATGCATACCACTTCCAGAAAAAGTCTGGATTAAGGTCGTATTCGCGTATTTATCCATCTGTAGTTTTCAAGTGTTGTGTTGGAAAAGATATCGTCTGCAACGGACAAAACGTTGACCAAACATTGAACAAAAACCGTGAAAATCCGTGTTTCGCACAGGCATGGTACGTTATGCCGACGCAATTTTCATTTCAATGTCCCTGTGTGTTGGAATTGACAATTTAAAACTGCTTCAGAATTAATTCTACCATGTCCCAACCTAGCTTTGCTTGCATGACTTTCAGGCAATCCATTGATGACAATACAAGTACTGTGTATCACCTCATCCGATACCTCCAGTGGAATACTGTTTTCCGTAATTGCACCTTATGGTCGTAAAGCCAAACTCGTAAATATCCGGCTATCGGCATTAATGATGCATAGAAACTGTTGCAAAACGAAGTCGTATGGAAAAATCAATGGCGGGTATAACTTGATAACCGACAGAAATCGATTTACGCTGGCGTACATGTCTCACTTTCTATTCCCTCTACACTGAGGGAAGGAAATGAGCAGCAGGAATAAGGCCACAGCAAGTAAATTTTATGAATAACATTCTCCGCAGACTCCAAGACTAATGCGAGCGGGCGAAAAAAAAAGGCAGGCCGAAGAAAACAAGATTCCTACATTTTAAAATTTTGACTCAATCATTGTACAAATGGTTTTGATTCAGTGAGAACATCACATATACACAGCCAACATCACATATCACTGCATCAAAGTAAGAAACAAAACATTAAATCAGAGCCTTTTCTGCCATCCACGAACCGGCATGGCAACAGACATCTTTGCCATGGTGGTCACTGTCAGAGGGCAACTAATTTTTTTTTCAAAAATCAGGCGAAAATTAATGCTTGCTGATGTTATCCATAAAACTTACTTGCTGTGGCCTAAACGTCATACAGGACATAATGTAGTACTGGATAACATGGGCCGTATTGGTCGGGTGACTTTAAATACATGTACAGAGACTACAGACACAATTTTACAATGTATATTGGAAGTTTAATTGCAATTTTACAGATGTTGGAGAAAACATTGTAGAATGCATATTTCTTTTAGTAGTTTTACACCCCCTCCAAAACACATATGATGATTACTTCATATATGAATTCAGCTATGATTTAGGTCTGGCATAGGTTTACTTTTTGTAATTTTATAACAAGTTGAGCCATAGTAGTAAAATGCTGCAATATCAATTATTTTACGTTTTATCTGCATAAGGCTGTACCAAAATAACCTCACAACCAAGACGCTCTCATTAGATTTTGAGTTTATTAAAATAAATGAGTCTACTTCTAATTGTATATTACGTCTACGAATGTACAAAAACTTTGATTCAACGATTGAGATCGAAATTATTCTAAACCTTAAGCCAATGCAGATCAACAATATAACAAATATAAAAGCTGACCAACCAGAAACGAAGACACGTAATAATCAGGTTTAATTATAGAGAATACAGTACCAGCTACAGTTGAAATAGGACACCCGTTCCCATTGGTAACTCAACCGCCGTTTCACGTCGATTCATCATCCTCAATGACAGGTTTTTACTGAGTCTGCTCATGTTTGAACGCAGTAACAGATGTCTCTGTCTGACGTCTGATCCAGAACAATCTGTCATCTCTTCTTTTGTGAGTCGTACCTTATTACAGCCGATAATGATGAAGGAGTAGTCGTCTGTCATTTTAATGACCATACCTTTCAGGCTGCTGAATGTGCAGCTGTGCAACGTGCTGCGGTCGAAGAAAAAGTGTAGGGCCTTCTGTACATTGTTCAGTACAAGATCTATTTCTATCATGGGTTAAAATTAGAAGTGTTTGACTGAAGAACTTTCTCATTATTGTTGAAATTCTAGATTTGCGTCATGGATTTGATGAAGTACAAATGTTACACATAATAAATTTCGCCATGTTGTTGAGATTCAATTTCTGTCATGGATTGAAATTACAAATGTATGTAATATGCTACAGATTACTGTAAAAAGTGACTGACGTTATAATTTATTATTTTATTCTATTAGCAAAATCATAATTTATTGTGCACATTAGTAGCAGGTTAATAACTGCAACTTAAAACTATTTTATGTAAAAGAGCGTCTAATATTTCAAAATCTAAGACTAAAAAAAGGGAATATTTAAATATTAATGCAGGGAAAACATTAGTATTACCGTAATTTACGGTTATGGTTGATTTTGGTAGTTTTACCTATGAAGGTGGTGGTGGAGAATTTTGGAGCAAAATATAAGGGAAAAATCAAGTAACTTTATAATCATCAATACTGCACAACATTGGCTATCGACATCGAAGAATCGAAGCAATTTCGTGATGGCTGGTGCCACTATGTATGTTCAGGAGCCTTTTGCTGATTTCCACAACGATTTTCGACAGTAAATTAAGTGATGCGCCCGCCAGATGTTCCCAGGTTATTCCTATCACGTTCCTATCCGTGTAGCACAAAATGGAGTCGGGCGTTCCCTCCATTTCGCGAACCCCACTGGCAAAGATGTTAAAAATGATAAGTTATACTGCCAGGGTATTCAAGATCAAGAGGCTGATGAAGTTATTTGAGTGGGTGTGGAGTAAAATATGTTCGAATTCTCTGTAACGTCAACTGTCATTATTCCGCAAAGTAGCCTAAAAACAACCACATAGAAACGGTGATTTGAAAGTGTTGTATCAAGGGTATTGTCAGTAATATCTGACGTATGTACACTCCGAATTCAGCTATCCAGGATTTTCAATGCATTCTTGAGAATCGATAAAATCTTTTTTTTTTCGTTAAAAGCAGCGGCCGAACGGCGTAGGGTAATTACGAGAGTTGGCATTAACGACAACTTCGTTCCTGTCCCTAGTACTAGTATTTAAACCTCGCCGGCCTTGCGTTCTGTGTGAATGTCGATATTAAAACACCATCGTTAAGGGTTTAAAATGATCTTTATCATAATGTGAAAGTTACAAAATTACAAGATGAAAGATTGCTTGTTGGGTAAAGCCTAGGACAGCCCTTTATTCCTTGGTATACTAAGATGAGGGCGCAAGGCAAGTTAGTAAGACAATATGTTAAAAATTACTATGTGCATCCAAGGAGGTTGAAGGAGGGTCTTTTGAACCTCCTTGGTGCATCGTACATTTTGGTGTTTCAATCATCATTGATGATTGAGACCTTTTGCTCTAGCCCATTCTGGAGCCACTACTGTAGACTGGTCCGCCCACCGTAAGGGCTCGACAGTCTTTTATCTATTTGTACCCACTTAGATGTTTTATTTTAGATGTGTTTGTGTAATGTTGTGTGTCTGTGCTATGGGTCATTGAGCCTGAAATAAACAATAAATTTAAATTTAAATTACCCCGACCGATTCGCCTGCTTTGAGATAATACTATATCATGATATATAGTATTCACTCAGTACCCCCGGTTTTAGAAAGCCGATTTCTACTAATATATCTATTTCCTTTGAACTAGCATCATTCCTACCACGCAAGTCATTATTAAACAGCCTACGCGAGATCTTAGCGTGTGATAAGGACAGGGTTAAATCCGTTATTGATGACTGTTGCCGTTATGCCATTTCAAAAATGTTGTATCACCATCTATCTCGTGTTCACGGTTCACCACACAGGTACAGTCTGCAACTTTTACGGGCCTTTTACAGTAATGACCGTGCTCACGTTTGTAGTTTACAACGTTGGTGGAATGTATATGGCAGTGCCATTTAGAAGGCTATGCTATATGATACACATACACACGATTTATCATCTACATTTTTACTAGTATTGGTCAGTTAGTAGACAACATAAATATACAGGATGATTATTATGATTTTGAAACTAACGGCTCACGAACTTTCATTATTTTCTATAGATGATCATCAGGAGATGGGGAAAGAATCTTCAAAGTCAGGTAAGATTACATATTTGAAAAGTTGATAGATTTTCATCATTTTAATTAAAAGGTACGTCTTGGCTCTACGAAGCCATTTCAGTAATTCTTTTCTATTCGGATGTGGAACAACTGTGAGAATATGCATAATTTGCATATTGCCTTAGCTGTTGCAATCGCACATGGTCTTGGCTGCTATATCAGCCCATACTTGACCCACCCGCTAATTTGCATAATTGCAGCTGACAATATCGTCAGGCACTTACCTAAAGGTACGTCGGACAGCTTCTGCAGTCTTCCTGTCATCTGATTGGTCACGGAGAGAATCTCGGCGTCGTTCCCGAACTGCAGGACCTTCTCCGTGAAGTCACAGCTACTGCGCAGGCTCACCAGCTCCGTCTCCACCCTGTCCTTCTCTTCTTGCAGTTCTCTGAAAAAAAAAACAGATTTAGTTTTTGTATTTATCACTACAAACTTGTTATCATTTATGAAATTATCACGTCCACGGTACGACGATGAAGGTTAGACATTGATGATGAGATGATACACAAGCAACTGGATGGATTTTAGAGTTCGGATAGAGACGAACGGGTGGTTATATCAAATTTTATGTACAACTACGTATACGTACAATCCCTGAAGGATCTGAGCAATACATTTTTTTCAAACTTGACCATCATTATCATGAAATTTGATCTGACTTGATAAATTACAGCCTTCTCTCAACCCGGACGGGGGACGGTACCGACTTCCAACGAACTCTGACCCGGTGATGACGTCAAACGTGCGGAAAAATCACGCGGATACAGCACTTGGGTTATATACCTGATGAAGACTGAGAGATTCGGTCGAAAATTCCGGTGAGTCAAACCCTTTTGAGTTGGAGAACAGTTTATTTCTCATGACATGATCGTCATTAATCATGTATGATTCGTCAATGTATGACGCGTCTTTACAAATGATATAAAGGTATCATTCTGCACTGTTCCACATACAACTACTTGTGAGGGTGCCGTCACTATGCATTACCCTCTTCTGCGCACATGTAATTGATTGTTATGACAAACGTAATGTACCAAATATTGGTTTTAAGCAGCCACTGCGATAAATATTAACCCGAAAAGGTTGAAGTATAGCAGTGTTAAAGGCCGTCTAGACAGAACACGGTGTAGCCATAATCTCCAAGCAGATCCCTCTCGGTGGTACAGTATCAAATTGGCCAGGCAGTATCCATTAGCCAGAGAAGCTCCATTAGCCACCGACGGGTTGGTGGGGATCAGGACAAAAAAAAAAAACCGGCCGTATATAAAAAGGTAACGATCATTCCCCATAACCTCTGCTTGGAGAGTAGTGTAGCCATTCATTTGGTGCCGGGTTACACGGAAAACGTGACGTCATACATCACGTGATCGGCGTGTGTCACGACTAATGTCACGAGCACGCCTGAAATGTAATGGAATTTTAAAGTAGGGGCGATATGATTACTGGAAGAATGTGGATTAAGGAGGAAATGTCTAAGCAAGAAAAAATAATAGTAATATACAAAAACGTACTGCTAATTAAACCACAGTGTTTCACTACTATGACCCAAATATTTTATATTTTTGGTCTATTTACAATTCTGGCATTAGTAAAAATGTAAAATATGAAATGACAATCTGAACCAAAAATCAAATTATGTTTGTATCTGTAAGGCCAGTATAACCACTCTTCGGCGGAACGTTCCACCATTATGGAACTAAAACGGGAAGTTAAACATATTATTCTAACAAGGGAAATTGTATAACACAGTGATTACTGTAAATTTAGAAATATTTGCGCGTTAGTTGTTTTATTTTATTTTCATGACACGATTGACACCTCGAATATGTATTTTTACTGTATTACTTCCCACGTTCCATCTTTTCCCTGAAAAAATTGCCGCCCTTTCTCTCCATTGTAAAACGAGTGGTTTAAATCGCCATTTTCCCTACGCCTCTGTGTTGTTAATACAAAAGTGAATGTATGACATTGTCATTATCCGTGCCCCTCGCCGTGTCTGGTGTCTATCTACAGGACATGTGTGACCTCACTTCCGCCCTCATTTCCGGACAGGGCACACAGATAGGCCATACATACTCAGTTGTATGGTTCACGTTTAGTATAAGACCCAAAATTGATGCAAAACAAACAAAAAAAAACTTGACCTGACTCGTTGGTGAAAACGTGCTACAGCACGTGTTAATTCCACGTTAGTTCCAATCTACGACAAACCCAGTTACGACATATTTTGTCATTTTCTGGTAGTTGTGTGGTAAACAGCAACCATCATCATCATCATGGCTTGTTTCCCGTCGAACCAACCAACCAACCAACAAACAAACAAACAAACAAAATGACAGAACAGGTAACTGGCTAATTATCCAGCTAACAAATTAACACAAACATAACCTCTGTGAAGGTGGGGAAAACACAAGGTTTATCGATCGATGGCCAAACATCAGCGCATCAATATGTAAATCAATAGTACGTTGCACCGTGCATCTCATTATAAGAATGACAGTGGTCTCGTACCTGTGTTCGTCCATCTCATTATAAGAATGACAGTGGTCTCGTACCTGTGTTCGTTCATCTCATTACAAAAATGACAGTGGTCTCGTACCTGTGTTCGTCCATCTCATTACAAGAATGACAGTGGTCTCGTACCTATGTTCGTCCATCTCATCACAAGAATGACAGAGGTCTCGTACCTGTGTTCGTCCATCTCATTACATGAATGACAGTGGTCTCGTACCTGTGTTCGGCGAGGTAGATGGAGTCCAGCATGGTGAGGAGGTAGTCCTGCTGCTGCTGGATTGCAGCTACCACCTTCTCCGCTGTAGAGATCACCTGTAATGGATGAATGAAATGTTTACAATTCAGCGCGTAGCTGGTTGATGAATTACGTACTACATGTACCTATAACTACAAATGTACTTACTTTGAATCAGAATCATAACAACGCCGGTCAGCTTGCATGATAAAAGATACATGTAGTATCTGCGTGCTTCCTTGCTTTTAGCCATTCATGAATATCCCGATACAGTTTTATTCTTAGATTTATTGCAATACCATTGCTTAACAAATTTTATGACTGCTATAAACAATTATGTCAGGATGACATACCTCGCTCTCCACTCTCTCCCTCTCCTCTCTCTTACTGTCCTCCGCCTCGGACAGCTGTCTGATGGCGGTCTCGAACACGGGCACCTTCTCCCGGGCGGCCAGGAGTAACTCGCTCAGGTGCTCGCGTTTCTCGGTCACGACGTCGGACATGAAGACGTGTTTGTGTGTCTTGTGGTCCTTCTTGACGCACTGCGCGCAGACGGGGATCTCGCAGGGCTCGCAGTAGAACCGCACCGGGCAGTCCCCGTGAGAGTGGCAGCGGGTGTCTCCATCATCCGCCGCCCCGGCCTTCTCCATGTTCCCCGTCCGCAACTTCTCTCTCAGGCTGGAGATGAGGAAATTCCCCTTCAACCCGGCCACGCCATTATCGGGGAGGGCGGTCTCCTCTCGGCAGAGGGGGCAGGTGATGTTCCGCGCCTTCCCGGGGACGTACTTCACCAAACACCCTTCACAGAACGTGTGCAGGCACGGCAGCACCTTCGGCTTCTTGTAGTCCTCGAAGCAGATCTTACAGACGAGGAATTCCTCCGTAATTTCGTCCAGAATTTTCGCCGACATGTTGTCAGGCCGGTTTTTTTCCTTCCCTGCTGGGCTGTCACTTACACCCACCGCCCCCGCGTGCGATATTACCAGCCGGCCGCCCCGATATTAAAAACCGGTCACGCACACACTAGCTCATGATCGCCTGCGTTGGCATGGCAACGGGAGGTTAATAATTGATGAAATGGGTTGGCGGGGCCGGCTATATTCTCGTCTTCCCCACAGGCAAGGACATCACGGAACGAACGGCAAGCCCGTTTTAAATTCACCTTTGAAACCCGAAAACGTGTCTCGCCCAAACGCGCGGATCGATTTTGTCGGACTGAAGGATGCTGGATCCGGAGAGAGCCGACCGACCTATCGGCTGTCGGCAACCTTCGGTCAGGGACACGTCATTATAATAATGCCTATCCTATGACGACATCCTTGCTGCATAATGGTATGGCGGCTGGCGTTTTGATATAATATTGTCGTTTTTTCTCTGATCTTGCGCTATTTACTGGTTGCTATGTATTGAATGGTAACCATCGAAATATAGAATAGTGTCAAACAGAAAACTCTACTTCATCAGCGCAAAAAATGGCGATATTGTTAAACAAATGTTGGCTATATAGGGAGGCTACAAATTATGTGATGGCAGAACTCCGAGACTGCACACTAACAATTAGATCACTCCTGAAATTACCATGCACCATTACGAAACACAAGGCTAATATTATTACACATCGGCTGCTTTCTAATCAAGGGATCCGTCCGCCTGACTGAGCTGTCAATCACCGAGGCGTGTTGATAACAGGCTAGAAATTAGGCCACACCAACTCCGTTTGTGGTTCGTGAAACCTGGGGATAATAGTCAGGATGGGTCTCATGATCGAATACGTCACTTTGTGTGACAGTGTTGTAGTCCTGCAATTGAGTTTGAGTTTATTTGGATCCACAATTAGCATACATAGTTGCTGTTCTTCTACTCTCCAAGCAGAGGTTTGGGGTTATTTTTTAGCGTGTTTTAGGACTTTTTATTGGGGTTTCTCTTTGACACTTGGGTTTGGTGGGGAAAAAAATTAAGTGTCAAAGAGAAACCCCGTTAAAAAAATTCTAAAAACACGCTAAAAATAACCCCAATCCCAAACCTCTGCTTGGAGAGTACTGTTCTTCCTATATGGTCCTACGTTAATACAACTGTACATGAGGCACAGGAAAATCAACATATACATATACATTAACATTTATTTTTTTTATTTTCTACGCCTCAAATCAATGAATAAATCACGGTGACATTCGTCGTATAACTGTCGCAAGATCGTAGATTGTTGGCATTCTTGAGAGTGTCGTGTATGTGGTGTACAGAATTCGCCACCGAAACACACAGACAATGACGTCACGGCACTGATACTTGTACAGGTCACGTCTAAGCCATCAACCAATGTTTTAACAACTTATATTCACTTCCACGGTCTTCTAAGTGTTACGACAAAAGGTTAACGTACAAATAAGTGAGGAAACATCCAGTTGGCTCTGTTACGAGTTAAGTACAGGCAGAACGGATACGCCGTGTAAAAATCCTTCCTGAAGTGTCGGCTGCGGACTGTAGATAAAACAAATCGAATTTTGCCGGCGCCTTCTTGACTTGACTCATGTACCGTACGATAGAGAAGGCTGCCAAATGGCCTCTACAGCCAGGATTGTGTGCGCACTACAAACGTCAGTGTACCGTAATTCCTTTCCTTTTTTCGCTGCTGTACTAAGGTGCTTCCATGCAGAAGCCCTAATTAAAACCTCTACTATTCTTACTTAGTAAACTCTGCTAGCTTCATAAGACATTTACCAGTAGGTTCTCTGGCGCAAAGTTGCTCATTTTGAATTGACGCATGTTTACATTTTTGTAACATTTCAGTTTGGTTACAGTAACATACATGAGTCAAGTCCAGACGTTAATGTAGAAGTTAAGCGCCTAAATGTGTTCGGAGCCGCGGGACAGTTGAGTAAGATTTATCTGATGCCTGGTAAATTAAACCGTGACTGTGAGGCTGCTTTTCCCTAAGTGAACGTTGGATGAAGAGGACGGGACGACGCCAGGGTATTACCAACCACATCTTTACAAGCACGTCGGCAGAACGTTCTGTGCTCGAGCGAAATCCGTAATATCGTTTAGGGTCGTATTGGCGTATTTAAGGATGGTATCCAGTTGATGTTTTTTAAATGTACGCATGTTGTGTTGGAAAAGATATCGTCTTCAACGGGCAAAATTTTGATGCAACGTTGACCAAGCATCCACCAAAAACTCGCGTGATTTCGCGAGTGTTTGCACTCACGTGACTATGACGTACGTAACATCCGCCATGTTGGATGGTTAAACCTGAAAGTTGTCAGGTAAATTTGAATTTGTTATGATCTTTAATGTTACATACGTCTACACATACGCCTGTTATGTTACATACATCGTACACAGAGTTACGACAGCAATTTGAAACACTCTTTCCGGCAAAAAAGTCGTTCGACAAAAAAGTAGAAACTTGACGCATGTGGCTGTGCCCTAACAAAAGTAAATCTCCGAACCCAGACTGTTACCCGTCTCTGTTACAGTTCTGGCCACACACCAAGAGTTTGATCAATACAACAGCGGCGGGCGGTGCAAGCTTTTAAGGCACTTGTACTAATTACGTTGGGTGTTCGGTGTGTGTGCAGATCACGGGAGTGAGACAGATCCGTCGGGCGTGGGGAGGAGACAGTGTGATTACTCATCGCCCGCCCAACCAAAGCCTTGTGGAACCACTGTGCGTCCGTAGTCGTAGTTCTTGGACGGTAGCCACAGATCTAATAACCCAGTTATCCATCCATTCATCTTACCATCCGTTCATTCTTCTATTAAGTCATTCATTCATCAATGTACCAATCCGCCCATCCACCCATCCTTACGTTTTCGTGACCATAATGAGTAACTAAGGACATTTTGTAACTTCTTGTATCTTAAAACAATGTGTTTCATATCTTTATACATTAATTGTCCCCCAGTTTACTAGTATTCTCGTGTCATTTAGTAAAAATGACAATTCTACGCCAGTCCCTTTTTATACAATAAAAACAAACAGCAACATAACAATACAGGAGTTGTGAAAAAGTATTCCAGCAACATTTTGGTCGGGTTCATGACATGACAGGTCACACTGCAAATTAAAACTAAATACAATAGTGTATATACTAGACTTTTTCTCAAATATTATCCGGCGATTTCTTTTACAATAATACACCAACCCCTTCCACCATTTTCCTCTGTGCCCCAAAGTTAAGATTAGATAAAACAGATGGAGCCAGCCACTGTAATCCATTTCCAGCTAAATTAGTCTGATAGAAACTCCAATGGTTCCGAATAAGCTTACTGGCCGTGAGCCAGCTGACATCAGACGAATGCTAAGTTCATTTCGATTCAGACCTAACCGAGCGTGTGTGTGCGTGTGAGAGGTATTGTTAGCTTGGTCGTCCCATGGTAGCCTCCAGCAAACCTCCTAAAGGGGTTAGGATGGTAGAATTTGGTAAAAATCGGGCCAGACTGGCCAGGGGAGTTGGTTGAACATCAGGGTTTCATTTCACCTACGCCGGTAAATTTAGGTCACACCAATTTAATTTGTTGTTTTTCGGATTCGCCCTGTCCATTATTTTCTGATTTGCAAAAAAAAAAAGATTTTAGGTTCTGAATAAACTGCAAAACGCTCAATGAAAGACATATTTTGGCCTCAACGGTTGAAGAAAGTCCTTTTCTTCCTAGCTGTTTAAGTTTTTCAATGTAACGTTGCAAATTTGTTTCATTAAAAGTTCAAAATCTATTGTTTTAATTATACACCAGCCTGGTATGTTGACCTCATGGCTCATATCATAACATTTCCTGCCTTCATGGGGTGTCATGTCTTGGTCTGTTTTTTTAATATTTATTTCGCCCTGCCACTTTAAAAAAAAAAATCAGAGAAACAACAAATTAAATTGGTGTGGCCTTACGGTGGCGAAAAACCCTTGGGCAATTATTTTCCATATTTTGCTAAATTTGACTGTTTTTTAACCGTTAGTCTGGTGGAGACTATCCCCCGAGGCTATGTGACATATGTCTCGTGTGAATAGAATTATGGTTTGAACGACGCCACGTAATCCGGTTAGCCAGAGGACTCATTGTACCATGGACATTATCCTTGATTGTACTGAGTCCAATGATGCGTAGAGATGTAGGCCAAATGAAGTACATTCAAAGATAACATTGACTCATTCATCAATTTAGTTTGATTTTTTTTTCATCTCATCTGAACTGCAACTTTCTGTTTGTTACATCAGTGCAAAAAGAGTTTCCAGTAATCAACTGGAATAAAACAACACCATTTTTGCTCGCTCCCTTACATGAGACGTGAGATTTCTGTAACATGTGTTTGGCCTATTAAAAACAGAACTGGTGGCAGCTGTAAGCTATACAAGAAGCGTCACGCCATGTAGGTCACATGAGATTCACATGGACTTGTGTTGAGTGTTGTATTTCATATTCTTTCATTCTTTTAGTGGGGGTAAACAGCAAGTACTTGAATACAATGAAATACAACATACTTTGAGTATTTGCTGTTTACCCTACCTGTTCTCTGGATAGGATTGAATGAAAAAAAAGGAATGAATAACCTATTAGATATTCAACAGAACTTCGGGTTTAAAACCTCGAAACAAGAACTTGCACAGAATTTGCATTGACAGTCAGATCTTCGCTATGAGTTTTCTGAGAATCTGTCTGATGTAATAAGGAGGAGAATTAGACTTGCCAGAAAGTCCAGAAGTCGGTTTCTGGGAAACTATCAGTGAAACCACAATCAAGTTTAGTGCATTTATAAGAGAATCGCTAGGTGGCGTCAGTAGAGCAGAATCATTCATGACACAACAACAAATTTACACTCTTGCACTTACAGCATATTGCAGGATATAGACTGTAGTGTAAGTCAACTTTATTATAGAATTTCCGTACAATCCTTGCTACCATTTTTATTTTGAACAGTTCAAACAGTTTGAACTGCAAAAGTACACAGCATTGACACTAAAAAAGGCTGTGCCTTATAAAATCATTTCATATACATATCTACTCAGTTGCACCGTACTGTTTTGGCGTTTCCATTACAAATCATTAAAATTGCATTTGCAACATAGCAACTATTTAGCTCGCCAGTGCCCTTTACCCCTTTGACCCTCTATTTGACCTTGACCGTTTGACCTTGTGACAGCGCGCTATTTGCCGTACTTCTTCCTGAGGCGCGTCACCATGGTTTCCACCATCTTCGGAAGGTCATACTCGTGATTCCACCCAAGGTCATTCCGCGCACCGCTGTCGTCGAACACTTCCGGCCACGTGTCAGCTGAACCGGAAATAGAAAGACATTGGTCGTATATGACACAATACCCACAATTAGTTCAATGACACAGCGCTGTCATATAATATTTGTATCTATCACCACCTTACAGAAAAGACCACTCAAGGACGAATTCAGTGATTGAGACGATGAGATTAGAATTACGGCAAAACACCACTAACGATGCAACATGGGATTCTTTTTAATATATCTTCCAACATTTTTTACTAGACATGGTGACGGTTGACTTTTGTTTACTAGACATGGTGACGGTTGACATAACTCAGGTTATATCAACTTATTTTATACCGCCACCAACGCAGAGGACAAATACAGCACAGGGCAATACTCAGTTTCACTTGAGTTAAGTGAAAGTCGTGTTAAGTGCCTAATTTTCCAAGGGCACAAGATCGGTGGCATGTCAGGACTCAGGTTCCGAGTCGAGTACCCTGCCGTTACGCCACATGATCCCACCACCATTCAATTTGTTAGGGTATGTAACACATGACACTACATATATAAATGCACCAAAATAACTATAAGGAAGTTTTGTCCATGGTGCTGAAATACCTTCATCTGAACACTAGTGGCTTGGCATGAGATGATGGCCCAAACATACCGATCTGTTGTCTGTCGTCCGGTTTGTAGGTGACCTCCAGGTTGGGGATGTGTTTCTTTAGCTCCTCCGCAATCTCCTCCGGCGTGAAGCTCATGGCTGTGATGTTGTACGTGCGCAGCTGGGGACCAGAGTTGGAAAGGATCCACAAGTTATTCAAGTGTACTGTGTATTCCTAAAGGTATCTAATTACATTGTCTTATTAGGTTAGTTTGACTAATGACACAATCTTGATAATTGCGTCGTCGTAAGGCAATGAAGTATTGTTTACTAGTATGGTTTGTCTGCGTGTCCGCGTATCTTAAATGCAGTTTCAGCATGGTCTGACAGAGGGTGCTTTCCAAGGATGAAGTCTTTTTATCCGTCTCTGATTGCCTTGTTCCTTAACAGGATTTGTTTGGGGAATTGTAGTTGTACGTTCAGAGTATGGGCACAACGGACAAAACTTAAGTACAGCTTCAACGATTAAAACGTAAGGCAGCGAGTGACTTTCTTTTCCTACAATGGAATCAAAAACACGCTAAACAGGCAATGTCTTGAAAATATTTTTTTCCACTGGAGATGAATGCAGGTGGTTAAATGATCTTCTTCACAGTCGAACTTTTCCATCCCTCCCCTATTAAAAAGACCCGTGTGTGTGATTACGTAATACCTTCCAGTCTTCATCCGGGGCCTCTAGCATCTCGACAGTAGCCCGGATGCAGTCGGGTAGGTACATCATGGGCAGGCGCGTGTCCGGCCGAAGGTAACACTCAAACTTCCCCGTCTGGATAGCGTCATGGAAGATCGCTACTGCATAGTCTGAAAGCATGCATGGAAAAATCTTTCAACATTGACTACATAGTTGCTATGTACTACTAGAGGATAGGGAAAAACTACCCTTCTGCCCTATTTTACCAGCAACGTATGTTGTGGATGTCAATTAATTAATGAATGGTTGTTAAAAATCTTTTGTCCCTTTCTCTTGTACGATCATTAGAATACGCATCGAAAAATACGTCAAACTGAAATCTACACAAAATTTGACAAATTCAGTTGCTTTGTTTGCAACATAAACCGCCATGATGATGATGATGATGATGATGGTGTACCTGTGGTTCCTCCTCCTGGCATGGTGTCGGCCGAAATGACTCCTGGGAAGCGAGCGCTCCGGAAGTCCAGTCCGAACCTGTGGTTGTAGTACTGTACGTATGTGGATGGCGATTATGGTAACGTTAGTTACTAAAAACTGGGAAGCGCCTTTTGGTACTTTGTTGAACATATCAATCTCCAAACAGATTTAAACAGTTTTCGCTGGAATTGTCTGCTTGTTGCTGGAATTGCATGTTTGTTTATTCATGTTTAAGATATAATGCACAATAAGATATAAACAGAATACGTTAAAATTGTATAAGAGAAAAAATGTATATGCAGTAGGGTTAGAAATAAGCCTACACATACAGCCCTCATCCTTGCTAGCTAAACAATTAGTACTAATATGATGAAACTAACATAATGATTGAAAAGGAATTAACGGAAAACAAAATATTATACCAAAGAAATTTTGCGCGCTCACTATCTGGTAGAGACAAAAAGACACTGTCAGGCAGACAGACAGACAGAGAAACCCCCTTAGCCTACTTATTGTTTAGTTTTGTTTATGTACTTACAGTACAAAACAGCCCTTACCTCCCCCATGAGTTCCGCGTGCACCTTGGCCACCCCGTAGATGGTGCGGGGCCGCTGGATGCAGAGATCGGGGGTGGGGTTCCGCGGGGAGGTGGGACCGAAGGCGCCGATGGTGGACGGTAGGAAGAGCCGCAGGTTGTAGTTCTTACACAGCTCCAACATGTTGTGCACGGACTCGATGTTGATCTGGATAGCCAAGGGCACGTTGGATTCTCCGATTACGCTGTGAGGGGAGGAACAACAGATTTGGTCTTTGCAGTCACGTGACTATGACGTATTCTAGCGCCTAGCGCCCGCCATATTGGTGGGTTAAACTATCTTACACAGCTCCAACTTGTTGTACATCGGCTTGGTGTTTATCTGAAAAAGGGACGAAAGCCAAATATATAACGCCCAATATGATCGTGAGTTTCTCATAAGCAATTAACCACAACCTTAGCTTATAACAAAACAATAAATATAACATGACAATAGAAGCGTTGCTAACAGTTGGATAAGACATTATGATATAACAAAATGCCTCCAAAATTTGCACTTTAACATAAAGCAAAGTTTGCGTATTAGCGCGGGGTAGTACTTTTTCTTTGGGCTTTTCAGGCAAACGAGAAGTTATTCATTAATACAAATTATTTGAAAGTTGATGTGTTTACGTTAGATGTGTTTACGTTACATATAAGGTACTTCTTAATGTAAGGCACATCTTAGATGTGTTTACGTTACACATAAGGTACAAACTTAAGGGAAAGTTCGTTAATACCAATTTTGTAACAATGTTATCTTCTGAGGTTAACTTTGTTGACCTTGTAAAAACTATTACTCCCCCCCCCCGCCTCACCTGAGCAGGGCGCTGAAGTGTACCACCCAGTCGATGCGATGATCCACCACGAACTGCCGCATCATGTCCATATTCATCACGTCTAAGAACTTGTACGGGCCTGTAGGGAGAAAGTCATACAGTACGTAATGTTAGCCAATGAGACAATCCCCAACCTGTTTTGGAGGGGAAGTTACTAGCCAATCAAAGTGCGTCAAATATTGTCATTTCTATATTTATGTTTACAGAAGGAAAACATGTTCCTTTTGCTCTGTTTCTTCTTCTTCTCCAAAGCAACAAGGTCAATGACCTGAACCAAACGTCTGTCACCATGGTAACTAGTATTGGGTTACATCATTTAGACTCCTGTTTGACCATACATGTATATATGAATGTGTGTTGAATAAGAATTAACAAAGCGGACCATATGCGAAGGTAACACTATGCATTTGCTTTGCAAATGTAACCTTTCTAGTTTTTTTTTGTTTGTTTGCGTTTGTACGTATTGATGAAAGTGGGTGGGGCGCTACTGCGCGTTGTTTACGTCTCGGAGGCCGTTACCTTTCACAATTGTCAAGCAAAGTCTTATTTGTGAACATCCTTATCTAATGTGTGAATGCGCAAATACTGTTTATGCACTTTGTAATATGCAATGTCCACGTCGTCAGCGGTCACCGTAGTGTAGTGGTTATCACGTGCGCCTCACACGCGCAAGGTCCCCGGTTCGATCCCGGGCGGTGACAAAATTTTAGCACAAATTTTCATGAATAGGCACTTTTAAAATTTTTCATCAAATGTTTAATCAGATATCCACAGAAAGATAATATCTTTTTTTCTGCTCGCAACTTTCTTCGTCATAGACATAATTTCTTTTACCATCTATCCGTAATAGTGCCACATGTCCAACCCATAAGGTAACCATTTTGAATAAGGTCCTATGTTGGAGTGAGGCTTGTATCTAAAATAACCATAGACTCCTCTAAATGTACACAAGTTGCTCACTATATCACTGGTTAGTCATGAGTGACGATGTGACGATACTTAAAGATCTTTAAATCTGAAAGGACAATATAAGAGGATGAAATCCCAGACTGACCGCTCGCCGCCAGCTCCTCCTCCGGAAATCTCCGACCTGTGGCGATCACATTGTCCCGACCGTACTTCTGTCTGCGAGGGAGTAAAGAAAAATGATTTGATTTTCCTTCATTTATTCTTTCCCCCATTCATTCTCTCTTCCTCTCCTTCCTTCCTTCCTTCATTCTTTCTTTTATTGAGTGGAAAAATGCAATACTAATCAGTCTATGATGGATGGAATCACGTTCGAACACGTTATTAGGTGTTTGCACTCACGTGATTATGACGTAAGGGATTATCCGCCATATTGGATGGTTAAACACTTTTAAGTGTTTAAAAGTTTGAGGTCTCCACTTGAGTTTGAAAGCTGTATGCGTCATTCTATTCACGTGGGAATACTTCACATACAGATGAATTCATAGGGCTGACCTTTCCGGGTTAACCAAGGACATTATATATAATGTTTTTGGTTTAACCAGCCAATATGGCGGCTGTGACGTCACTTACAAACACCTTGTAAACACCTTGTATAGGTGGAATATGTTCTTGTCTCACCTGAGTTCCTCCGCTAGCGGCGCGCCCAACTGTCCCTGGACACCTGTGAAACACACAAGGTTACTCATAAACACCTGTATGACGTACAAGTTTACCAACAAACACTTGTATGACTCTAGCGCTTCCCCCGGAGTGTTTGTGTTTCCACCAGGGGTCGCTGAGGCCACGTACACAGCAAAATAAGTGGCTTGTGTGGATAGATAAATGATCCGTGCGTCCATGGACTTTGCTCTTGTAAGCTGAAGGGAGGGGAGGAATATTGAATGAATCAAGAAGGGGTTAAATGGAAGGAGGAAGAGAGGGAATCGTATGGGGGGGGGGGGTCAAGAAAGAGGGGCTATACGGCGAAAGAGAATGGAATAGGACCTTTCCTTCAGCACGAAACTGCACTGAACCAAAAATATTGTCATGAGATAACTTCAAAGTGCCTGAAGCTAAAACAGCATATGCAAATGTAGAACACAGACCCTAACTTCTTTATTCTTCTTATTGTTAATTTTGCTAATCAAAAATCGATAATGAAGAAGCAGCTGCACAGGCCTATGCGCTCTGTTTTGGGCGTGTATGATAGTATATCTCCTCTATCTATTATCATAATGTATTTACATTTTTCCTCTCTCTTTATCCCTCTCATTTTTTATCGTCAAAAGCCTTTCTGGCAAAGTTTATCCATAGCTGTAGGTGTTGGCGATGGGTGAAACCATTCTGCAAACTCAGCGGGGTTTCGGGCTGCATAATGTTGACTTCTCTAACGGTTCAACAATGGCATGTGAGTGAACAGGTGGGCGTATACATACATGCGGCAACAAAACAAGCTCGCAATGTAAGATCTCTCATTCAAACAGCGCTAAAACCACCCCCGATCATTTCGTGCTGCTTTTTCTTTTAATCATTAGCTAGACGAGACAGGTACTCATTGAACTACACTGAGGAAGTATGAAGTGTGATTCTTAGGTGAAAGTGTCTGGGCACGTTGCACGGTGTTTGCATTGCGGAGCTTATAGCTTAGCGTTGTTTTGTCGCCTAGAACACGGATGTCCCGCAAGGTATGTCAACAAGCTCATACCTAGAACGATATACAGAATAATGTCATATTCGCGTAAATGAGGATAATATCATGTCTATAGGTTCAATGTAGTTGTGTCCGAAGAAAAGTCGCATGCAACGCTTGTTTTTCTGGTACAACATTGACCGAACTGACATTAGAAACCGCATGCTTGGCACGCTCTGGATGTACGTGCCATGCCAATGCAACAATGCACAAGAAAGAGACCGTAAATACGGATGTGCAAAGACACAGGGGCACACAGGAATCGGTTCTCACCTGTTATCAGTATTCTCGGTCCGTTAGCGACGCTCGACGCGTGAAAGCACCTCGCCAGCCCGGGCAGCCCTCGTTGGACAAGCCGACCACTCCAAGCCATGGCGTTATGTAAACTTGCAACGCTACGAAACCCACTCAAAAAGGGCTGCATTGACTGTTCTGAACTTCCTACGAACCTTGCATCAGCTTGGTTGCATGACGCAAGACCACTTCAGCACGTCATAACATTCAACCAATCAGACCGCCGCTAGATCCTGGTGACCAATCAGCGACGACCTGGGACTACCGCCAACCAATCGCAGTGCGCACAGCTGAGAAGGCCTTTGCGAAGAATAAACAGTCGTCACACCAGGATATAGTACTGTGCAAACATACTGAGTTGTGTTGGGCGATGAAACAGGAATGCGTACCAGCCGGAATATCGAACAAACTCTTCTCGACATTACACTAGCCAAAGAATTTGGTCAAAAATAAGGGATAGTTTCCCCTTGGCAATCGTTCACTTAAATTTTCCCGAATCATGTCTTAGGTAGACACTGGTTTTCTGATTTTAATTTTTGCTCAGTGCTAAAATCCCCGTGCGCGAGATTTGGTTGTTTGGTTTGCCCAGGAAGCTGAACAAACTAATGCCGAGTTGGGAAGACTGTGACATTCTCTACTTGATCCCTGACTTGATCCAATGTGTGTGCCCGAAAAACAGGACAAGTTGAGAAACCCTCCTTGCATCTGCTTGGAGATTAGATGAAACGCCTAATGCATATACACCACATACACATGTAGCTACACACAGAATCGGTTTAGAAATTTTAGCATAAGGGAAAACTAATTTTACAACAAACGAAAGATTTTCTTGTTTTCCATTTTGGCAACGGACCGCAAGCAAGTTAAATTGGTATGACGTCATCATCTCCAGTTAAAGGGTCACTGACCTTTGTGTGACCTACAGTTTACTGTCCTACATTAGAAATATAGAACTCAAAGATCGCAAAACTCCAAAAAGGAGGCAAGGATTCTTCTTATAGTGGTCATATCTTTAAAATGGAGTGTGCATGTGTCCTTCAATAATATCCGCCTCGATATATTACTTATCTACGGTTATCACAGAGGGCAAGGTTTAGGTCAACCAACGGCTGCCAGGGTTCCCATTCTTGCTGTCAACTAGTATCTACTGAAATAGTCTTCTGACAATTCCAGCAGTTGACAGTCGCTATGTAGGTATGTACTGAGATATTTAATCACCGGTGCACCATTCATCTATCCATTCGTCTGCAGTGAGAAATAATTCCGCCTGGTAGCGTTTCGGCGTGAGCTGGCAGCCCCTAACATTACAAGTGCGTTAGACAATTATATTGATGGCTGCAAGTAAACATATCTAAACACGTAAGTGTATTCTGAACAAGCGTTGTGTTTTTTAAATTCATTTATATTATATTGAGACAAAATTGGGGTTTCTCTTATCTAAAATATGAGGAATTGCGTCAACGACAAATAGCTGCCTGAAAGCCTGAGTTTTAGATTTATATCATTTGTAGCTGAAAACGGAAAATCATGATTCAATGTTTACATCTTTATATAAAACAATTGGTTTTCTTATTAGAAAATTATCTCTTCTTGGCATAATAGACACTCAAAATCACATTAGTTATACAAAGAACATACGAAAGGTAAAATATATACCCAACCTCCACAAATGTGTGAAAACCGTATTGCAAACAATAAAACACAAAGATTGCTGTCCTCAGCACAAAAACTGGCACGTCAACAACAAAAGCCATGACGAAGGCAACCACGTGATTCAGATGAGGGTCGGGATCGATGACGTCATACTGTAGTAGGCGATGACCTTCGTAACCGACGGTCAAGGTCATGAAGATGAAGGCGAGGCAAACAAAGGCGACGATGGCGTTTGTTAGAGCGAACTTGTCTTGGAAGAAAGCCGTGTCTTGAAGGAGGTGTGTAAGGAGGGAAGAAGCGCTGATCGTCTGCAGGGTCCAGTAGAGGCAGAACTCCAGGTGCTGTCTGCGATGGTGGTGCCACGTCATCACGTGTGACGTCAGTAAGATAACGGCAGAGATTTGAACCATCCTGGCGACCTGTCAGAGACATTGATATAACATTTTCATTGATCATCTCAGTTAAGTTATGCTTATGAACAGCCACAAAATTACGTGAATGTTCTCCCATTATGGTTTTAGGGTAGGAAGAAGAGACTAAATTTCAATGCAATTTGGATCTTTTCAGGAGTCTTTATAAATCAAGAATGCTTCTGTTATATAAAATGTAGGATGTAGAGACATGTGACAAGTAAGCGCAATATACAAAGTGACAAATTTGAAAATACCGAATTTCTTGAAAATTGCATGAATTTGATTTAAAGAAAAATTAGCTTACGTCATCACCATCCCATGATCCCCAGCTTCCCGCCATATTTGAGAAGACGTCAGACGTGTTGATTGCCGAGTTTGTGACGGTTGCTTCAGCATCTACCACCAGCCCGTACATCTTCTTTATGTCGTCCGAAATTGTGGTGACGTTGAGAGAGAAAACGGTCTCTGTACGGCCGAGGGAGTGCAGTACACACCTGCACAGATAGGCGGCGCAGTCCACCACGCATGCCGCGTCACCGCATTGATTTGTGTCGTTGGTGATCGCAGAAAAAGTGTCGTCTGATTGTGACGTATTTGATGCTGTAGGACGATTTGAACCGAATCCGAATGCCTGTATCTCTGAGCATGCGCAGTTAGCACCTTTCTCCGACCGGAAAACCCAGGGAACGAGATCCACGCAGATGTAGGTGAGGACCTGGACGGAGAACAGGAAATGGACCGGCCACCTGCAGGATTGTGGGATGAAAAAGACACTGAATAAAAACTGGATAAAAAGTTAAGAACGACTAGCAAGGACTGTGTTCAGAAAGAGCGGAAAGAATACTGACATTGAAAGTAAGAAGAAGAGAAATTGTCCTAAACAGACAAGGAGAAAAAGAATTGAAGAAAAAAAAATATATATATATATATAAATCTGTTAATTAAACGTTCAAAATTTTCCTCGCGCAGATTTCACACTAAATTTGCCATTGTTTAAAGGCTCTGTGTATCCTAATTGATTGCACATATGCACGCGTGCTCGTATATGTGCATATTGCATATATATGATATTGCCACTCCTTTCCATTGTTATATGCACGTACATAAAAAGGCCTTTGGAAAATGATAAAAAAGATCAAAGAGGTAGAAAAAAGCTGTGGTAGAATAGCCTGGGTACCATCCCCAGTAGTATATTCGCAAACTCTATAAACTGTTATAG